GGAATGTACCACGTCCACGGTCCTAGTCTGGAAATGATGATGCATACAATGGACTCCGGACTACGTGCATTACTCTAAGTCTTCCTAACAATAGGGATGAGTTGCGAAAACAAGGTCAAACAACTTCTGGAACATACTAAGCCCGACATTAAAAGGAATTAACTAAATTAATTTATCCCCATTTATTCCTATCTTTATAATTCCAATTGATTATAGTTCTCGCATATATATCAAGCAATGCAGAGTCGCTAAGTCACCTTAACATAGGAGGAGCTTAAAGCTTTTTAAGAATGAGATCCATTCCTGAAAAGGTTTTTTATCTGACAAGACTAACGATAGCTCAGCTCATGGTACCACGTCCACTCTCATACCCTGGAAATTATGATGCATACAATGGACACCGAACTAGCTGCATTCCTCTAACTCGTCATAACAACATGAACGAGTTGTGAAAGCAAGGTCAAACAACTTCTATAAAACGAAAAAAAACTGCCACCACACAAAAGGCCACATCATATTGGTCTTCAGGGAATCTTGCAAGTTTTAGCGTCAATCTACCAATGTACCAATTTCACACTCATAACCTGGGAATCATCATAACTGGGATGGCGGAGAACCTCGGCCAAAATGTTTTAATCTAAGGTCGCCGTGAAAAGACGACCAATTTTCGAAAACTAATTCCCAAAACTTCTATATAATGAATGGAGGCTGGGATCAAAGCAGAGGTGGCATCAACTTGGTCTTGACATTTACGATAAATTAATGTCGTATGTGTCAACTGCAATCCAAAAGCAATGGCAACGCCGATTGTACAATTATCTGCGTCTCCAATCTAATTGGTTTTCGAACAACAGTCTTTCCAACGCGGAAAGTCTCCTTATGCTTCCAGTGAGACCAAATCACAAATTCCTTCCAACCGACTTTCCCTTCGAAACGAAAAGTCATGCCACCTTTTTTCGAGTGCTGCCTAAAATGTCTGAATTGCCCATTTTTCCAAATGGGACAAATGGCACCTCCTTGACGCTGTAAAGTTTCTGTGTGACACTAAAAAAGGTGGCAGAGATGGTTGAATGCAACCATGTGAATGCGCTAATCACACATTTGACTCACCCGTGTGCTCGTATTTGTGTCTGGCCAGAGAGCTGTGCTTGGAAAAAATCTTTTTACATTGATCACAGGCAAAAGTCTCCTGTCCCACAGGACCAGATGAGACGGCGATGGAAGGTGCAAAGGCTTGTTGGTGGACTGACTGAGGCTGATGTTGGAGTAGAAGTTGATGCGGCTGCAGATGCTGCTGTTTGACCTCTTGTTGTTGTGATTGTTGGCTGTGCTGGTGGTGATGGTGATATAGTTGGGCCTCTAGATGAGGACTCTGAACTGGCAGAGGTAACGGGGGAGGCGAGGTGGCAGGTAATCCACGCATCGAGGAGCCGACAAGTCCAGCAAATCGAGGAGCAAGTGACTGAAAGAATGGAGGAGATGGGAGTCAGAGCAAAGGGTAACAAGAAAAAGTAAAAGGAATGAAAAGTTGCGTTTCAAGCAATCTCTTGTTTCATACTTCCATTTCGAGTGAAAGCGTTTGGTGAAGAGACTCGAAGGTCTATTCCACCAGAAGACGACGGCAGACTAGCTTTTGATTGGTTTTACTGGAACATTTATGCTGACGCTGTTTCCGTGGTAACCTCCTTCGATTCCGGTGAAAAAGTGCTAAGCTTTCGTCCGTCATATGACGAACATCATCAGAGTGACGTATCATCGTCACAACCAACTTCAAGCTAACTAGTCAAGAAAACTCACCGACAAATCGCTAAAAAGCGGTATATATACTCTATATCTGGTATAAAGTGATGTGGTTAGTTACAGTCATATGTCAACTTTGAAGCCTGTGAGTGTGTCTACACATATGAGGACAGACACACCCACAGA